TTTATTGTAGAGATGAGGTCTCGCTGCCCAGGCGGGTCTGGAACCCATGGGCTCAGGCAATCCTCTCACCTCAGCTTCCCAAAGGCGCGGGATTACAGGCTGAGCCACCAAGCCCGGCCTCACCAACTTTAAAAAAAATTATTGCACCCATCTTGGTTGGGTGTAAAGTGGTGTCTCATCTTGGCTTTGATGTGCTTTTCTATAAAATGACTGCTGAGCAACTTACCATATGCTTATTGGCCATTTGTGTATCTTCTTTGGAGAAATGTTTATTCAGGGTCTTTGTCCATTTTTTAAATTGAGTTATTTGCATTTTTGTATCTTCTGATGCATAAAAGTTTTTAATTTTGATGAAATCCAATTAATCTAGTTCTTTAAATGTTGATGCTTGTGCTTTTGATATCATATTTAAGAATTTATTTCCGAGCCGGGCTTGGTGGATCAGCCTGTAATCCCATGCTTTGAGAGGCTGAGGTGAGTGGATTGCTTGAGCCCGCCGGTTTGAGACCCGCCTGGGCAACTTGGCGAGACCTCATCTCTACAATAAATCAAAAAATTAGCTGGGTGTGGTAGCACGCGCCTGTAGTTCCAGCTACTTGGAAGGTTGAGGCTGAAAGATCGCTGGAGCCCAGCAGGCGAGGCTGCGGTGACCGGGAGCGGCCACTGCACTCCAGTCTGGGCAACAGAGTGAGACTCCAACTCAAAAAAAAAAAAACAAAAACAGAATGTATTTCCATTCTTTTGACTCTCTCTTCATCATTTTACTTTTTAAAAATATATATTCCCGGGGTTTTTCAATTTTATAATTTCAATTCTCTGCTCAAATTCTGAACTTTTATTTTTTTATTTTTTATTATTTTGAGTTGGAGTCTCACTCTGTCGCCCAGACTGGAGTGCAGTGGCCGCTCCCGACCACCGCAGCCTCGACCTGCTGGGCTCCGGCGATCCTTCCGCCTCAGCCTTCCAAGCAGCCGGAATTACAGGCATGCGCTACCATGCTCAGCTGATTTTTTGATTTATTGTAGAGATGAGGTCTCGCCACCCAGGTGGGTCTCGAACCCGCGGGCTCAGGCAATCCACTCACCTCAGCCTCCCAAGGCGTGGGATTACAGGCTGAGCCACCAAGCCCGGCTTGAACTTTTATTTTTTTGCACATATTAAGCATACTACTTTAAATTCTATGCCTCGTAGTTCCATACATTTGTATGCCCTATGAGACTATTTCTGGCTTAGCTGACTCTTCTGATTTACTTGGGGGTTTTTTTTTGAATTGGAGTTTCACTCCGTCGCCCAGACTGGAGTGCAATGGCCACTCCCAGCCACCACAGCCTCGACCCACTGGGCTCTGGCGATCCTTCCACCTCAGCCTTACGAGTAGCCGGAATTACAGGCATGCACTACCACGCCCGGCTGATTTTTTGATTTATTGTAGAGATGAGGTCTCACTGCCCAGGCGGGTCTTGAACCCGCGGACTCAGGCAATCTACTCACCTCAGCCTCCCAAAGGCGCCGGATTACAGGCTGAGCCACCGAGCCCGGCTTTGATTTACTTGGTTTATGTGATTTTTGCTGTTGTTGATTAAGAGCCATATACTATATATGGTAAAGGGATATAAATAATTTCAGACCCATAGCGACATTATTTTCTTTCAAGAAGATTGACGTTTGTTTGGGGTGGGCACTAGCCATACAGGATGGCCTTGACCCTTGGCTGTCGGAGACATGTCGCAACTCTCCTACCAGCAACTTAATCACACTTTTAAATAAAATAATGAAAAACTTTACATTAAATAGTGTAATGTTGGAACACATTATTTTGTTGTAATGGTATTTGATTTATAATGGAATTTTGGACCTCAAGGAACTTATTTATGACAGAAATCAAAATTTTATATCCTTTATTTTTCTAACGTGTGGTAACGTGTGAAACAGTCACCGACATACATTGCAGGTTCACAGTATGTTACTATGTTGTACGATAGTAACTTGTTGGGCATCTTCTACTTGATGTTTTTCTGTTCAAGCAGACAGTGCAGCCTCGTTTTAGTCCTCTCATATCAATGATACTTAATTTACTGTCCACCCTGGGCACCATATGAAAGCACTCCAAACATTGTTTCTACATAACACCAACTGATTTTTTAATGTATATCTCAGTATATATTCCATCTCTTTATTTGCTTTTTCGTGAAATATGAATGGAAAATTTCAAGGAAATAAATTTTTGAAAAATCCACACTGGCTTAAGTTTGTCCTGTATAATCTCCAGCAGTGTCTTTCTCTCCCCTGAGAGGGGGCATCTGAGTGGTTTGCTAGATTTACACTATCCCCTCAGAGGGGACATCCGAGTGCAACTTGATGAGACCTTGCCTCTACAATAAATTGAATTTTGTTGAAGAAATTTTGAGATGAACATGAGTCCCTGTGAAGGCCAGGCTCATTTTAGTCATACTTACTCCTACAGTGTAGTTCTTTGGACTTTCAATGAAAGTGTCGGGTTTTACCAGCTCATCTTACGCCCTTCTGGGACCTTGGACTCCAGTAACTTTCCTCCTGGCTCTGTAAAACTGTTAACAGCTTCTTAGCCTCTCAGATGCCACTGAGTAAAAAACAGTTCCAAATGCCAGGCTTCCTTCTTTTTCTTGAAGCGCTTTATTCATGCTGTTAACTCTCCGCTGCCTCCAAAAGGTTCAAAAAATGCACGTAGTTCTAGTTTTTCTCAGGGAAAGTTAGTCTGAAGGACTTAGTCTGCCATTCCCAGAAGCGGAGGTAAGCAGCATATAATTACACTTTCTTAAAAGTTAGAGCAGACCGGGCTCGGTGACTCAGCCTATAATCCCAGCACTTCGGAGGCCGGTGTGAGTAGATTGCCTGATCCCACGGGTTCAGGACCAGCCTGGGCAACTTGGTGAGACCTCACCTCTACAATAAATCAAAAATTAACTGAGTGTGGTAGCGTGTACCTGTGGTTTCGGCTACTTGGAAGGCTGAGGCATCGCTGGCGCCTAGCAGGTTGACACTGGGGTGGCCGTGAGCATGCCACTGCACTCCAGCCTGGGCGACAGAGTGAGACTCCAACTCAAAAAATAAAAAAATTGAAAAAACAGATTCAAAAGATCACCACCTAATATTGTTAGTCTTACCCACCTGTGTTTTTATGTGCTTTCTTGGGGGAGAGGAGAAAGAACAGAACTACAGTAACCCCCCTAGCAATGGCATGCAACGAACTGTCAGGCGGGTAAGTATCCTCTTTCATGTCTGCCCTGTTGGGAAAAGACATTTAAGACCATTGCTCTAACACTTACTGCATGTGCTGTAGTTACTTTCTTCTATGACTGCGTCTCTCATGAGACAGTGAGCCCCTTCTGCTTGCTAGTGCTAGACCTAGAGTTGAGTACACTGTAAGTGTAGAAGTGAATGTATGTGGCGAAAACACTTGGTTGGTTTTTCACAGTGAAAAGTCAGTGGCTGCATATATTGTTCTGAATCCTCCTGAAAGAGCCGGAAAGGGAAGAATCTCTTCTCACCAGATCTTCGGTTCCATCCTCTTTGACAGGTGGCATCTCCGCAGAAAGCGACGGTGCTTTTGGGCCCGACTGCGCTATCCCACCACTTCCCGTGAGTGAAGGTATGCAGCACATTCGGATGATGGAGGGCGTGTCGCGCTCTCTTCCATCCTCCCCCCTCCTCACACACCAGTCTGTCAGTGTTCGGCTCCAGCCTGTGAAGAAGTTGACTGGTAAGGACTTTACCTACGTTCAGTGTGTTTGGCAGGGTACCTGGCAGCATGCCCTTGAAAGTCATAGTAACTGTGCTTGTGTGTGTCTGTGGGTGTTTCCTCCTTGGCCTTCCTGAAGTCCTGGACTCTTAGCGAGTGGGACTTCTGATTTTAATTTAGAGAGTTAGTGCAGTACTCAGCTGGGCAGATTGATGTCTCTGTTTTCTAGATGACCCATCTGTTGTGGATATATTTTTCCTAGGTTTTCAGGAAGTCTCTGATTTTGCCAGAATACACTGCTATTCTGATTTCATTGATCAACTTGTTCATGTCAGATTAACAGATGGAGCCCTTGTAATTTTGGGATAATAAAGGTACATCAGTCATAGTTTTGTTTGAAATCATGGTTTGTGTATTTCATATCTACTTTTAAAAGCTATTTTAGGTATTTGCATCTACATTGGACATTACTGCAACTTCCTAGGATATTTACTATAATTTGTAAATTCTGGATTGTATTTACTTTAATATCTCACAATATGAATTGCCCATTTAGAACAAGTTGTTAGGTATGAAACAGTATCTTTATTAAATAAACTTCTGTTCTTTTAAGTTTTTCAGGGAAGAAATTTTATAATCAAAGAATACTTATGTGTGAAAATATGTAACTTTGTTAGCTTTCTTCTAACATTATCAGCATATTCCTGATGTCAGTAAGTTTCTGGGTACTGATGGATTATGGGTACATGGCGAGATGAAATTAGGTTCTTTACCAAGGATGTGTAGTGACTATTTCCTGTGTACCTGGCATTGAACTGGACAGTACAGAGACTTGATTATCATTATGACAATTCAAAATTGTCAAAGGCCTAAGAATTTAAAGATTGAGAATGCATGCATTTTAATGTTTCTGAATTAAATCTGTTTCCTGAAAGAGAATGCCATGAAAATGTTTCTTTGGCCAATTTTCTGCCAAGTGAAGTAGATGATAAGAATTGTCTGGGTCAACATGGAACAAAATGACTTTTGAAATTCAAAATAAAAACCTTAGTAGATTATTCATCAGTTATCCTTCCTTTTCTGACTGTGCTTTATTATAAATAAGTAGTAGGAAGATTGAATGGGGAACAATAACTGACCACAAAGAAATATCCTCCAGAGAATGGTTCCTACTTGGCATTAATTACCTAAATGCATTAATCGGGCCATTAGGGCTATACTTACTAATTTATCTCTTTCCATGCATTTAAACTTTCAAATGCCGTATACATATTCCTCATATTCATATTACCAACAAAAAACCGAATGAATAAGACCAGAATAGTCATCTTATTTCATCTTCTTTCTGACTTTCTAGTATTTCATCTCATGTCTCTGGTACAGTTAGAGCCGTTTGCTCGTTATTTCTCAGTGCTTTTTACTTAATTGCTCAACAAATATTTGTTTATGGCCCACTATATGCCAAGCACTGCTTTGATATAATAGAGTGGTGAGTGGTGAAAAAGACACTTAAGACCCCTACCTGCAAGATCTTTATATTTCAGTCAGGAGGAACCTGATAATAAATGCATAGCTAATAAATAAATACATAATTTTAAATAATGACAGGTACTATGAAGGTAATAAAATGTTGACATGTTTTTAATAGCTAATGAAAATAATAATGATAATTTGTATTTGAATGCTATTCTTCACGTGTATCTCCATTTTACGGATGAGTAAACTAAGTCATAGTTAGGTAAACGTCTGGCTGAAAGTAAAATGTCTCACTGAAGATAATAAAGCAGTTGGAGTTAAGATCAGTATCCAGTCCTTGAAACTCCCAATTTGTCTCATTTTACCAAGGAGAAAACTGAGGTTTGGAAAAGTTGAATAATTCACCCAGGCATCTGGTATATCAATTAGGTTGTTATTGCTACAAATAACAAAAGAGGCAGCCGAATGATTTAGGCAGTGAAGGCTTAAGACCTAGAGGCTGGGCAGGCACCAGGGTTCCTTTGGTTTGCTCTGGTGTTATGTGCACTGAGGGAGTGTGGAGGAGTCTGCAGAGGCGTGCTGTTGGCCCCAGTCCTCTCAAGTTCTGTTCAGTGCGCCTTCCTGAATGATTTCCCATCACATCGTAAAGATCCTCAGCATGTACAGATGATTCAGGAGTGCTCATCGTTCATTTCTTCAACTCTTACTGAGTTTATACTGTTTATACTATTGTGTGCTTTCGCTAAGTTTCATAAAATTCAAATTTTGAGTAGTCACACTTTTGGGAGGGGTAAAAATTGGTGTAACCTTTTTAGGGCAGTTTGGCAATATATTTCAAAACTACAGTGCACATCATCTTCGACACAGCAATTTTGTTGCTAAGAGTTTTGTTTTACATAAATTTGAACAAGTTTGAAAATGTATGTATGTGTAATATTTGCATGTAATATGGTTTTGTTTAATACCAAAAATGAAAATCTAAATACTTATCAATAATAGGAATTTCTGTGCACTTTAAAATGCGACATACACAGACATACACACATGCATACGTTTCATAATAGTCCAGAGATACAGTAACTCTTACTGAAGTGGGAGGATGACATAGTTTTGTTGTATGCCATTCTATGTTGTTTGTAATTTCTACTGGGTGTAAAATCCACAATCTCTTGGGCCAGTTTAACAAAGTGATGTGGGATACAATTCAGGATTAAGTATACAAATAGTCATAGTACAGGTAAAGTCTGGGCCTGACTTTGGTCCCCATTCCTCCTGGTTTGAGATCAGGTACCTTTATTATGAAGTGTGCCCCCTTTCCTCCCCTGGCAGTGTCACACTACTGTCAGTCCCTTTCTTATAGTATTATGATCATTGTTCAGGGTCCACTTGTGAGTGAGAACATGTGATTGGGTGTTGAGTTTCTGTCAGCTGTGTCAGATATGTGTTCTGAGTGTTTTGGAAGGTGATTTTCAAGAAACTTAATTAGTAGAGTAAGTCCCTCTACTCTTCTGAGGAGTGATCTTCAAATACAACATCAAATAATAGACTATTACCTAATCTCTGGAAAATATTTCTTTTGCCTGACTTTAAAAGTATTTGCTGCCAGTCGACTGGAATGACCATGTGGTGCCCAGTTTGGATAGTAAATCTGTCACAGGACCGATCTGATTATGCTTGAGCCTAGATATTTTAGATGCTAGCTTTAGCCAAAATACTATGTTTGTCCTGAGTGAAAAGGAAACATTTACTTGTTTCAGAGACATCCTGGGGAGATCATCAAAAGTTCTTTAGTTGCTATAAAGGGCCCACACATAGTGTTATTCTACATAGTCTGATAAATTTTTGTGTACTCATGATAAATCCTGTGCATAAGACTGTCTTGTGGTTTTTAGGAAGCATACTGGAATTCTATATACTAGGTGAATTTTATTATCTGAAATTTTTTATTTTAAATTTTAAAAATTCTACTAATTAGAATTTTATTATTAGAAAAATATATAGGATTTCTAAGATTAAATAAAATTTCCTAAATATATAATCCAACATATGATGCACATTAACTGAATGTTACTTTGCTCTCATTTTTATCTTGGATTCTTGTTTTATAAATATCCTGAGAAAATTATTGAAAAGCTGACTTGAAAATATAGCTGGCATAAGTGGCTCATGCTTATAGTCTCGGCACTTTGGGAGACAAAAAAGAGAGGATTGCCTGACCCCAGGGGGTTCAACACCAGCCTGGGCAGCTTGGCAAGACCTCACCTCTACAATAAAAATAAAATAGCAGGGTGTGGTGGCACATTCCTATAGGTCCAGCTACATGGAAGACTGAAGGGGAAGGATCGCCTGAGCCCACCAGGTCGACGCTGCGGTGGTCGTGATCACTCAGCCTGGGCAACAGGGTGAGACTCCGACCCAAAAAAAGAAAAGGAAAAAAAAGAATAAAGGGCCTTCAGATAGTAATAATCTATGTAGTCTGATTTATTTCAGTGTATTCATGATACTATAACATATGAGTAAATATCTTACAGTTTTGGGGAAACTATTGGAACTCAAGATGTATTCTAGTGAATTTTATTAGACTGAAAAATATAGTAAGCATGTGGTAGTCTAAGCTGCATCATTGCTGTCTGTTAGATACCATATATTGTTTGTAAAGTTAAAGGAAGAAATGCATAGGAAGCCATTAAGCTCTTTCGCAATAATAGTAACAGTTTAGATCTCCTTCAGGTGCTGCTCCTCATTCAATTTTTAACAATTTCTAATTCTGATTCTCTGACTTATGAGTGAAATATTAGGCTGTGTAAACTCTAAGGTAAATTCCGTGGCAGGAGTGGAGAAAAGAGGGGTTTTACTTCCATGGGAATATTAGGGGGTTATTACTTCATTCAACATAAATAATTTCAGTTATCATGAGTCAGTATTGTTAAAAACAAACAAGAAGCCAGGTGCAGTGACTCACGCCTGTAATCCCAGCCCTTTGGGAGGCAGAGGTGTAAAGATTGCTTGGGCAACATGGTAAGACCTTGTCACTACAATAAATTAAAAAATTAGCCAGGCGTGGTGACACTCCCCTGTAGTTCCAGCTACTTGGAAGGCTGAGGCAGAAGGTTCACCTGAGCCCAGCAGGTTGAGGCTCTGGTGGCAATGAGCATGCCACTGCACTCCAACCTGGGCAACAGAGTGAGACTCCAACTCAAAAACAAACAAAAGCCCCAAACAAGAACTGCTTGGTAAAGTGGTAAATACAGATTTTACTGAGAAACTATTGAAATAGGGGAAAAGAGGCCTTAGTATAGAACGGGGCTCAATTCTGAGTACAATAAAGAATGCTGGGATTTACAGCCAAGGGGTGGAGTGGGGGGGATTCAGTGGATGGAAAACTGTTAAGGGGAGGTTTCAAGGGTGTAAACCAGCTGGACAGGTACCAAGGGCAGGGGGATTATCGTTAAACTGAGTAAACAGGATTCTTGCTACCACTAGGCTGGGCAGGCTGAGGACAAAGTCCAAGGAGGATGCCTTGTTGAAAAGAGATCTCAGAAGGG